TGATTCCTGAATTCTCACAAGTTCTGCCCGCTTCACTACTTTTGGATTTTCCATTTCTCCGGTAACTACCAACTGGCATCCAACTATCCATATCCGAATCACTTCCTAGCTCTTCCTCATCCTCTACAACTTGAGCCGCCGTCTTGATCCCACAAACTGGCTTTTGACTCGGATCAGTGTCATTGTCATCGTCTCCTTCTTCCGACGAGGACCCCCAAATTATTTCGCCGTTTGAGTAGGCTACAGGACTTGGCATCTGTTTTCTTCGGCGACTAGCTAAAAAATCAAACTCCAGCTGTGCACCTCCGACGCCAGCTTCCCAGCATGTGTGTTCCTTTCCCCTTGGCTCCCTCGTTGTCTCCTCTCACACCTGCTCCTTGTCAGCTCGTTAGCCCTCCCTTTGTCTCCCTCTGCTCTCACTCTTTGTTGGTTCCTTGTCTTTGCTGTCTTCCCATGCTGTGGTCTACGTTCCTCGTCTCTCCCTGGCTCCTCGTGTTTGGTTTTCCCTTGATGTCTCCATGGTTCTGGTCTGTGTTTCATCATTACCTTAGTTGGATTTTTGGTTTCCTGCCTTTGTTAAACAGTTTCCTTAAATTAAATCCACAAGAAATCATCTCAGCCTCTCTGCCTCTGCATTTTGTTCCTCCAAACAACAACCAAACCCTGACAGTTGAGAGATACACTGTCATCTTTTCTGTACTCAAGGCTCCTTGGTTAGATGTTATTTTATGCTGAGTCTGCCATTTCTTTTGGAGGTTGAGTGGTAATACAGTAGACAGTATATTGCAATTTAACCTATTCTCACACACTATAACAATTGATTTTGCAAATTGAATAGCAAAAAATATAAAATCTGTTGCAATGATCATGGATAGTCAGTAGATCACTCAGTACTAGATAAGCCTTTTATTACTCTAATTTGAGCTATTTCTTTAAGGCTGCTTTTTACTTTTACTTGAGTGAAAATATGATAAAGCAGTGCTACTTTTACTTTACAATGTTTGGGTACTCTGCTCACCTCTGCCCCTGACTAACACATGGAAACTGTGATCCTATGTTAATACGGCTGAAGCTTAAAGCTGACTTGAATTTCTAAATAAAAGTGAATTGTAAAGGGAAACACTTTCAATTGGTTCAATCGTTGAATCAGTTATGGTCTCTTCTGTTTAAGTATATCCGCATAAAAAAAATTATTTAATATTACCCTTACATAAAAACTGATCCTAATAAGTAAAACTTTCATAAAATAAGTGTATTTCGCCTTAATTCCAGCAGATAATTCAGATGATCTGCCAAAGAAATATGTTCTTTTGCAGTTATTGCATTGGCAAATTATCTTACCTACCTGCGTATATCATGGGAAATTCACTTAATTGGCAGGATGTGAATTTAAAAAAAATATATAAAAAAAATGTATACATTTTTTTTAAAAAGGGCCATAACAGGAACCAGTATGTGTTCTATAGGGACACTGGACCCTATTGGCCCTTGCCTAGAACCGCCCATGCCTGAAAGGTAATTGTTTGAACCACCAGTTCTTAACCTGTCTTCTTTAGTGTGTATGTGTTTTTAAGACCATGGTGGGTTTTTTTTAACTACTACTACATTTAACATTTTAATGATGTCACAGTGGAGAAATTTACCTCTGCATTTGACCCATCCTCTTGGAGAGCAGTGGGCTGCCGTTGTGTGGTGCCAGGGGACCCAGAGTGGCAGTCTCTAGGGATTAAAAAACGAGGTACTTGCAACCTTTTCTGAGCACAAGCGCACTGCTCTAACCACTAGGCCAACACTCCCCCATAATGCAACTTTTGCTGCAGTTACAAATGCAAAGATAGAGTATTTCTCTACCGGCTTTGCTCATGTGAAGGTTGAAACCAATCTCAGTCAGATTGGTTAGAGCGCATCTGTGAATGACTCCTTGGGTCTGGACTTTGAGCCACTGTAAGACTTTGATCTAAATTAATGCCTTCTAGAACTAGTTTTGTGTTTAGGGCTATTATTGTCCTGAAAGTCTCAAGTTTTTTACAGTCTCTAAAACGTTTCTTCTTGCTCTCTCTTTAGCACTATTACCCTGACCTGTTTCCAGTTTCCCTCTTGGAAAGGCTATCCCCACAGCATAATACTGCCATCACCATGCTCAGCTGAGAGTTGTTACCTTTGTGACAGTGTTTGCATGTAAGTCAAGAGGTTAAACTTTGGTCTCCTCTTTCCGAATCACCATCAAACCTCTAAGGCTTTCACCGAACAGTTGGGTTTATACTGCGACCAAACTGCACACACATCGAGATTCTGGTTACTAGTTACGTAACCTCTGAAGGCAACTGGATGCAAAAGATTTTATGCAGCCCTATTTAGAATTCTACTTGTAAATCCTTTGAAAGTATTTCCCCCCTCTACAGTTTTGCAGTACCTTGTGATGGATGTTGGTCCATGACAGAAAGTACACAGTACTAGATGTAGATGGGCTTGCAAGAATTGGCAATATAAGCTAATTTGAACATTAAAGAATATTGTTTACATGTACATTAAACCTAGCCTGGTGAGACCATCCTGATCTCGCGAGCTTTCAAGCACTCGCAGATCAGTCTGGCTACTTTCCGTTAAAGAAAATTTGGAGCCTT